GCCCGGGCCGGGCAGGGCTGGCCCCCTGCTGGAGACTCCAACGCAGGGCGCAGCGCCTCGCCCCGCCCCGCCCCGCCCCGCCCCGCCGCGCCCCGCCGCGGTGTAAAGGGCGCAGCGGAATAGCACCTAATTACCGCCGGGGCACACTTTTCTGCTGGACGCTGGAAATCCGCGCGCTGCCCTGCGCCCTCGCTTTATGCAGCGCCGCTTAAAGAAGGGGCTTAACTAACACACACCGGGGGCGCCCAGCGCACCCGCCTGCCTGCCTGCCCGCCTGCCTGCCTGCGCCGGCTTGTTTGCGCAGCGTGTTTTCTCCTCTCAAAAGGGGGGAATTTTTTCCCCCGCGCCGCCGCCGTGCCTTCCGTCTTTACACATAGACGTAAAAAAATATAAAAAGGTTGTAAGAGGGCAACACAACGGCGGGGCGAATGGACCTCAGGGCCGTATGGACGCTAGCCGGATTAATTCCGAGTAAGAGGCCAGGGGTTAAGGTTTTACGCCGGACGGCCGGGTGAAAACAAGCTGTATAAGCCGCTGACTGCACCACTCACTTCCCCGGCGCGCCTTCCTATCTCCTGAATACCCGGCATGTGTGCGCGACCAAATGCTTCCAGTCTGTCCCGGAACGTTACCAGAAATCGCCTCGAAAGTAACGTCCGTCATTCGCCGTCACGAACTTGCAAAGTTCAGACATTGCGAGCTCTCATGGCGCCTGATGGGTAGGCACAATCTCGTGTGCAGTGCACGCGTGTGCCGCGGGGTGGCCTATCCCGAGTCTCGCAGGCGCGCCGAGCTCATACGATTTCCAGAATCAAGCTAAGAGAAACGAACGCACAAAACAAACAAAAGTACTAGGTCCCACCTTTGAAAGCCACTGAGAGTGTCTTTACAAGGGGTACGAAACTCAGAATTTTGTTAGTGCCCCAGGAAAGGCAAGACTTGGCACCTTTTCAGTGCGTACTATACTTTCTGGGAGATCACTAAACTGCATGCGGCCCGTCGGCGGCATCGCCGCGTCTGTTTGGTCTGCGCGGGTGGTCATCGCGTGCGTGGTCGCGTTATGGTCGGCGACGCAGTGCGCGGGGCCGGCGGCAGCTGGCGCCGTCGCTGACCGGACCCCCCGCCCTGGCGCGGGGGCGGCGCGCGCGCCCGGCCCCGGCCACTGTGTCGCGCGCAACATGTGCGGGCATGTGGCCGGCGTGTGCGTGCGAGTGTGTGGGTGAGCGCGCGCAGCCGGCCTGCTGCTGCAGCAGCCCAGCAGCAGCCTGCCTGATTGACTGTGGGAATGTAGCCGGGGCGCTGTTTCCCACGGCGAAGAGCCTCGGGGCCTCCGCTTACTCACTCAGTCATTCAGTCAGTCAACTACTGCCTCGCCTCGCCGCCGGGCTGCCCGCCTGCTGCTGGCTGCTGGGGCCTAGCCGTCCGTCCGCCCGCCCGAGGCTCGAGCCATTATACGGGTGCGCAACGGACGCCCCGCCCCGCCCGCCCCGCCCCGCCCGGCGTGCTGCCCGGCCGCCCGCCCGACCCGAGCCACCGAGCCCGCCGCCCGTCTCGCCCCGCCCCTCTCCGCCCCGCCTTGCGCCCGCGCTTCGCGCCCGGCCCGCGCGCGCGCTCGCGCCCTCGCTCGCGCGGCCTCTGCCGAGCCCGAGCCGCCCGCCGAGCCCGAGCCGAGCGGCAGCCGAAGCGCTCCCGAGTGAGGGTATGCGGCGCGCAGTGCGTGCCTGTGCACTGCCCCTCGCCCGCCCCCTCCGCTCCTCCCCCCGCGGCCACCCCCACCACTACCGCCCCGCCGGCTGACGGGGTGCCTGCCTGAGCGTGGGACCGTCGCGGCCCCGGGGCTCGAGCGGAGCGAGCAACAGGCCTCCTCTCAGACCTCATTCCAGTGCGAGACTCGGAGCGGAGAGCAGCTCTCTCTCGGTGCGCGCGACTTCTCGCTCTTACCTCTGACGACGGCGACGTAGCGACGACGCGACGTGAAGTGCAACTGTGCCAGTGCATCGCCCTCTTGGATTTACATCATCATCATTATCTCATCATGCCTTCTCACGCGGAGAGCATCGCCACCTCCTACCCCAACATGGGCGACTACGAACACGAGCCCATCTCCAGGACCTACCAGTACAGAAAGGTAAGCTTCGCGAGCCAGTCTTTGACCCCGCCGCCGCCACTCCCCCTCTCCGCTGCTCCCCCCTGTGACCCCGCGACCTGCCACCTGTGAACCAGCCGTCTAACGCCACCCTCTCCTTTGCCTCCCTCAGGTGATGAAGCCCATGCTTGAGCGCAAACGCCGCGCCCGCATCAACCGCTGCCTGGACGAGCTGAAGGAGCTGATGGTCGGCGCCCTGGCCTCCGAGGGCGAGAACGTGAGCAAGCTGGAGAAGGCCGACATCCTGGAGCTGACCGTGCGCCACCTGCACAACCTGCGCCGCCAGCGCGCGCTCGGCCTCACCCCCGAGTCTGCGTACGCGGACCGCTTCCGCGCCGGCTTCACGCACTGCGCCGCCGAGGTCAACAACTACCTGACTGTGCACGCCGTGCCCGCCGTGGACCGCTCCACCAGCGCCAAGCTGCTGCAACACCTCGGCACCTGCATCCGCAAGATCGACGCCGACGTCCAGGTGCCCACCGGCTGCCCTCCCGGCGTGGACGGCGGCGACTGCCCCTGTCGCGACCACTGCGGCGCCACCGAGATGACCGTCACCCGCCCCCTCGAGAGCCCCTACACGCCCCCGCTCAGCCCCGGACCGAGCTGCGCCAGCGAGTCCGAGCCCACCATGCTGGAGTCTGGCGACGAGGGCTCCGTCTGGAGGCCCTGGTGAACGGCCGCCCTGCGAGCAGCACTAAGTTAGGAAGCGTTATGTGATCAATGAAATTGGTGTTTAAAGTGTGTACATAGTTGGACATATGATAGGTATATGACGTTGCCAGATCTCTATTCAGATGCGTATTTTGATAATTTTATGTGGAAGGCTGTTGACTGCCGGCCCGGCTACGTGGTCGGCGCACCCGCGGCTCACTTGTTGAGCCGATTAATGAGCTTTAATAGTTTTTAAGATTTTGTAAAAGTTCTGTTCTGTGGTAGCAGAGGAAGTATGTGATTTTAATTTCGTCCCTGTTAAATATTTTGAAACATACAAATTTGTTTTTGTTCTCGTCTCTGACAAAATTATGTTTGTTCTCAAAGAAAACAGAGTTATATCTATATTTATAGTTTTGAAGTTAAATTATAGCAAATTCCATTTTTTCTAAGAAAAAGTTATAGTGTTTGTTCTTGAATTTTCAATGTAATATTTTTGCACAGTTTTCACTTTTATAATAGTACTGACAGATTTTGATGTTTGGTGATTACTGTGATATATTAATTTATTTGTACCTGAGGATCGAGGAGGAATCTTGTGGTTAGAGCATTTGCAATCATCCCCACCATTTTTGATATTCTGGTGTAATTGTTGGTTCAATTTTGACTTTGCCTCTTTATGATTGCCCAAACTGTTGACTGAAGACTGCGAAATAACAGATTTGCAATGACTGCTAAAACTGCAAGGTGAATAATAAAACAATCTTGTTTTCATAAAACTTACATATTTCTCTCGTCATATCTCTTGCCCCCACGACGACCCCAGAAACCATTTGGTCACGTATTTCTGCCGAACTGGCCGCTTGCAGCAGAGCAGCGCGTCCGAGAAAAGCGCCCGCCGGCGACACATGACACACACAATGGGGCTGCAGCGGCAGGCAGCAGCGTCCTTCATTGTAATCACCTTGACGGGGATGAACACCCACCCGCGCAACCATTCGTCACGGGCTGCGCGCCGAGCTGCACCAGAGCTGCACCACCACCACCTCTCCACCCCCGACCGGGTGCGGCGCGCGGCCGCTAGAGCGCGCGGCCTGTTCTACGAGACGAGCTCGGGAGCGAGGGCGAGAGCAGAGCAGAGCACGCCGCCCTTTGGGGTTGGAAGATGCAGCACCTGCACGATAGAGAAAGAGAGGAGCAGCAGCAGACGACGCTGTCAGATGAGAGCAAACTGCGTGCGAAAGGGACGGCCACGGCGGCGCGCGCATTTTCAAATCCCGAATCTGGTTGATAGATTAGAAATAAACGAGCCCGACCAAGGAGCTCAGCCGCTTCGCTGACTGCCCCTAACGAGCCCCCAGCAGCAGGGACCGCTGCTGCTGGACGCTATCATCGCCAGCCCGACCGGCCACCGCGGCGCCGCGGCGTGCCCACCAGCCCGCGGCCCCACCGGCTGCCTCATGCCCCGGGTCGCGCCGAACGGTGCGTTAATTACTTTAATTTATGGTGTAAATCGGGAGGCTGTATGCGCCGCGGCGCTGCTCAGTTCGTTATGGGCGTGCAGCAGCGGGTCGGCGGCGTGCCGAGGCTCCTGACGAGGACCCGCGGGCCGTGCGTGCGTGTATTAGTGTGTGTGTGTGTGAGTGTGTGTGTGTGCAGGGGCAGCCACAGACCGCTGATCCCGGTCCGAGATAGGCTGCAATCCATTAATACAGTGCGAGAGAAGGGCGTTTTATTGTGTTCGGTGGCCCCTTCCTTGGCTTTGGCAGGCCGGCTGAAGCTGCTGCTGCATACAGCTTAATTATTTTACACGGCGTGGCGAGGCGTGGCGCTGCAGCGGCGGCGGCGGCGGCGCTTGGCTTTTCTGTTTTCTTTTTGCGATGCGGTGCGATACACCAGCCGATGCGCCACGACGACGACGACGACGACGACGTTGTCTTGCTTGTGCGTGCGTTAGATAGAGGGAGAGAGGAAAAGGGAGAAAGAGCACGCCTCTCCACGGATCGCACACTGATGTGTACTACTGCTAGTGCGTACGTATTGTATAGAAGCGCAGTGATAGGGCCACAAACACTTTACGTCCGTGTTACACTAAAAACGTGTAAACTCATCGACTTTACCATACCGCACCCGCACCAACCTTGTGTTATTCAGGCCCTCCTCCCCTCTCTGTCTCTCTCTATCTCTATCTCCCTCTCTCTGCCCCCCGCTCTCTCGTAATTGGCAGAGGAACAATGGGTGTGAGGTGGCGGCGGCGCCTTTGGCGGCCCATGGCGGGATCGATCACGATTGGGATCGCGATCGATTCTCGCTATCGATCGCCGCGTCGAGATGAGCGGCCACGCGGGGCGCGCGCAACAGAGACCCACATGCAGACGATTCTGTGTATTCTCGTCCCCAATCCAACATTGAGGAAGAAGAGGGGGGGGGGGGGAAGGGGGTCCCCACAATAAAAGAAATTGGCGCACAGTTATTTTTTGTCCAATTGTGCCCTGCCGTTACATAGCATTGGCATTGGCCTGAAGGCCTTGCCAATAATCTGGCAGGCGCGGGTCGTTCAATTTTGCCTTCAATTTCGCAAGGTGACTAAACCATTTTGCCGCGTCAGTCGACGAGTGTCGTGACGTCGATAACTTTTCTTTCTGTCCTCTGCGCCTTCCTATGCGGGGGAGCGCGTCGGGCTAGAGTGGCGTAAGTGCAGCGATGGGCGGGGCAGCAGCGGGCGCCGCCGGACGAGATCGTGAGGGTCGCACAGGTGTCACGGACGTGCCTGGTCGGCGGGGATGGCTGCGGGTACTACTAGTAGCAATGGCAAAGCGGTAGCGGACGGGAGCGGGCGCGGGGGACGACGGGGGAGCAGCTGGAGAGAACACACAGCACAGGACTGCAATCACTTTATTACACGGATTCTACATTAGGCCGGGGGAGTCCCACAGGCCAGGCCGGGGCGTGACGGGCCAGACCGGGCCTGCGGCCTCCTGCCCTTTACAGAAGCCCGACCCACAGCGGCAAGTGTTCAACGGGCTTACCACTTGTAAGTGCGCAACTGAAAGTTGAATACCCGGGTAATAAGTGTTCAACTTTGGAGTTGCAAACTTACTAACGCGTTCCTAGAGGCGTGACCACCAGGTGGTCACTCCTCAATGATAAATCATAGGCACACAAAATGAGCCGCAAAGAAATGTGTTTAACAGTTGAACTGCACACTTCACACTTGCCCAATAAAATTGGTTCACTAAATGTAGACACCACGGCAGGCCAGTACCTATTGTGAGTAAAGGAGCCCTACTGTACTCACACAATGGGGACTGGCCTGCCGTGGTGTCGACATTCTAGTGAACCAACCACAGTCAAAACTGCGCTCATATCGTCGCCGACTGCAGCACGTTCAGGCGGCCCGGGCGAGTACCATAGGCAACCCGCACGCACGCGTGTGGCGCGGTACAGCCCAACCACACGCCAGTGGGCGGGGAGCGGACACGGCGGGCGGGCCACACAGTTAGACCTGCAAACGTGTGAACCGCGTGTCGTGAGGGGCGCATCATCGGGCCGCGGCCGCGCAGTGCGTTCGTTCGCGCAAAGTTGTCGTAAAGGATGGGGCGCGCGAGACGCCACCGGGCCACACATACAGCTTCCGGTTTAGTGCATGGGAGAATGTTATACCGGCCGCCGGACGGGACGGCCCGCTGCAGCAGCAGCAGCAGTCAGCCACTTTGGAGCCACTTTGCCCAGAGCAATTAGTCGAGTGCGGCGCGGCACGGAGCAATCACAACTGCCGTGTGTGTGTGTGTGTGTGTGACTGGTCAGCCGTGATCTCTCTCATATCAGTGGCTGTGCAACCAGCGACCTCACACATCAAGCTGTCGCTCCCTCTCTCTTTTTTATCACTCGCTTTACCGACTGCCTACTGTGTTTCCCTCTCTCTCATCCCCGCCCCCCCCCCCCCCCCCCCGCCCCACCCCCCCCCCCCCCCCCCCCCCCCCTCTCTATGTCCTTACCTCCTTTCAACCCCTTTCTGTTCATTCTCTTTCCAACGCAAGTTCTCTTCTATTCTCTCTTATCCACGTCTGTCCACGTCTACCAGCAACAACAAAAACAACAAACAGACACAAGACATGTATAGAGACTCCAATTTGAGGTCCCCTGCGACACGCAACAAGTCGGATCGAAAGCAGGCAATACGTCTTTCTCTTGTCTTTTGTTTCTTCTTTTTTATTTTTTTCGGTATACATCTCCCTTCCTTCGACAAGTTTCCCAGGAGGAGAGCGCGCGGGAGCAGCAGCAGCAACAAGTGCGCGGCGCGCGGTGCGGAGACGCGGAGGAGGAGAGACATGTTCATGTCGGATTGGAAAGCGACACGCCGCGCACGTCGTGATGACTTTTTGTTGCCTTTTGCTGCCGGGAGCTCGACACGCCACGCCACGCCGCCGGAGCCCCGCGAGAAGCGCCCCGCGAATGGATGGATGATGGGGGGGCGCTTGTGGCGTGGGTGGCCCCTGGCCGCGCTCCACCGCCCGACACATCTCACAGCCAATTACTCGGTTTCCTTAGTTGGGCGTGGCGCCGCGGCGCCTGCCTCTCACCGCCCGCGCGCCGTGACGTACGCCCCGCCGCGGAGGAGGAGGGGGAGCCCCGCCCCGCGGCTCCACCCCGCACCCCGCACCTCGCGCCTTGGGGGCGTAAGTGACTCCAATACCGCCGGCTCATGCTCCATGCTCCTTGAAGACGCCCTTGCCTTTTTGCTCCGCTTCGGTGACGCCATGCATTTATGTGAGGTCCCTGCCGCCGCCGAGGGGCGCGACGATGCGCCTCTGCGCTCGCCCTACCGACCTCATTGCCGCACGAGGATGATAGCCCCCCAATCACGCGCCCCGCCCCGCCCCGCCCTCGCGCCTCGCAGAGCGCCCGGCCCGGCACGGCCGCCGCGCGCCGGAAGCCCCGACACGTCCTGTCCGCCCCGACATTCGAATCGGTCGAGCAGCGGCGCGCAGGGCCCTGCAGGGCGGCGGGGTCGGGCTGACCTGGTCGGGGCGCCTGATAGGCGTATCATGGAAGGACATCCATCATCGCGGCGGGGAACCCCGTCGAGGCCGCCGTCCAGCACGGTCAGCACCGACACACACAAACACATAGCAGGATCGAAGCGAGGAAACTGGGAGCTTTTTCTTGGTTACAGTAAGAAGAAAAAATTATTTCCTATTTCTCTGACTTTATCCTGGTTGGCCGTTTCCCCCCCGACTTTTACTGATATTTTAAGTGTAGTTTTCTGGCACTATAGCAACGTAATTATGACAATAAATAAGGTTCACGACAGGTAGAATCTCTGTGTGGAATGGACATGTCGCGTATTTAACAAACGTTATTCCATATGGAAAGGTTTCAAGGTTTTCGAGATCTGTGGCAGTTCCTGTCGTTTGTCACTCCCCTGCGGACCCTCCCCTCCCGTCCCTGCAGTGTCCCCCGGCGTCACGCGGCGGGAAGTGCACGGGGCAGGGTCGTGCCCGCCACGCCCGCACACGCGCTGCCGCTGTTTGTATTGACCGGATCCTCGGCCCGATCGGGACCCCCGCCGCGCGCGGACCCAGCGACGGGTCACCCACACGGATACGAGAGACCGTGACACCGCCGCGTGACGGGGCGTGACCGGCGTGACGGGGCGTGACGTGTGCGTTATAGCAGGTGACCGGGTCCCACTGGGCACGCACACGTGACCCTTGCGCGCGGCCTTCACAACATTTTTTGTTGTTTTAGTTTTATTTTGTTTCCTTTGATGAACGCCGAGC